TCTCCCGGGCGCCTGGCTTTCGGTGCGGCGGCGGGGCTGCGGGAGAGAGCGAGGCGGTGAGCCCGGGGTTGGCGCGACGGGAGCAGAGGAAGCTCGGAGCGAGCACCTACAGGAGCCCCGCACGGCCGGACCACCGCCTGCAGCAGCACCAGGCCTCGGCAGGAGGCTGGTTGCAGGTTCGTTCGAGGTCAACCTGGGCTACGGTGTCAAATGATCATAAGAATAAACAAGTAAATCCAAGAATGGAGCTAAGGAACTTTGTCAAATCTTTTCAAATTACAGTCTTCTATTTATTCTAGAGCTAAATACTTAGGGTAAAATTGATTAAACTTCTGGCTTTACCCTTCAATACAGTACACACACACACACACACACACACACACACACACACCTTTCTACTATTTACCAGTTTGTTGAGAAAGTAACAAGAGCAAGCCCCAAGGAGAAACGTCTCGAGTTACAAGTTTCTCCTAATTGTTTAAGCGCCCCTGACAACAGAGCTATTTGGTTTTCCCATCCGTGTTTACACTGTCATCTTCCTCTCCCGCAGCATCAAGCATTTGAGTGGATTTTTAGCTGGCTTCTTGGACACCACTTACTAGTAAACAACAGCTTAGAATGGATTTTTAAAGCTTGGCTGGGAGGCAAAGACCCCTGGTTAAATATAAAAGCATACATTAGCTCTATTACCCCTCCCCATTAGAAAATCTCCCAAATACCATGAAGACACCTTTTTTTTTAAGTTATTAATGATTTTCCCCAGCTCTGCACACAGGTTGGTGCACAAACTTCAGCCAGCTTGAAATCTGGGCAAGTTTCCATGCACAGTTACACAATATCACCTCCCAGTGCCCCTCCAGCCAAGCACAGCCTAGAGCCTACTTTTCTCTCCGTTTGCATTAAAGAGCTTGGTCTGCCCCTTGCAGCTTTGACAACGTGCCTTGCCAGTTGAAAAATCTTGAAAAATCGGCTTTCTCCCAGTAGGAATGGCTAGTTACACAGTTTGTGTTTTTGCAAAGCCATTGATTCTAACTTCCTACGTTAAACCGGCGCATTGTGCACAGCCAAATAAAGTTCTGGTCGCTATCCAACTCCTGACTGTCAACTGCTGACCTCAACTGCTTCCCCACTGATATTCCCATCTGTTGTGTTGTCATAGGGAAGATGGTTTGATATTCGGGTTAAATGCCACTGAAGTCCTTCGGTTTCCATATGAAGAAAAAAAAAACTAAAATAAATTGCTCCGTGAGATGTGGAAGCTGTTTTTCCCAGACATAGTGAAATAACAAAACATCCTAACAAAAGCAAAACAAAACATCACCTCACCGAGACTCCTGATTTGTGCCTATATGTGAGTGATGAGTGCGAAAGTGTGGTGTGTGTGTGTGTGTCTGTGATACCACAGGTTCAGGTACACCAGAGGCTACACCGGAGCTGCTGGAGAGGAGCGGGCTGCGGGATGCCCGGGATATCGCACCATCGGTGGCCTGTGTCACCATGGACGCCTGGAAGCTTGTCCACAGCGAGCCGCGACCCCTTTTGACACTTTCCCTCCTCTGGGATGCAGCTATTTAACATGCAAAGTTTTCTCCAGCCTGCCTGGCTCGCACGCGATCATTTCAGCAGCTGAACCCGCGTCTTTCCTTTCGAAAGGGCTGCCAAGGAACATGAAATCTTGGGAGACCCTTGTCGCTGCTCGCTGGCACACACGCAGACCCGGAGTCGCCTGTCCCGCAGTCTGACCCTTGGCTCGTCCCGCCCTGCATCGCGCCCTTTTCCCGGTCCCTGGGGCGCTGCATTTCAGCGACCTCACCTTTTCTTTCCGCCACCGGGGCTTCGGGGGACCATCCGATGATCAAACAGAGAAGCCAGAGGGCTCGAGCTGTCATTTTTGTAGACAGGGTTCCCAGGGCTGGAAAACGCAGCAAGGGCTTTGGCTCGCTTCCTCTCCCCCCACCCCTTCTCTACACCCCCCACCCCCGTTCATGCTAATGAGGGGCAGCCTTTGGGGAAACGGGCATCTCTGACTGCACAGACCATTGAAACAAAACCGAGCGGCGGGGATCTCGCCCTCTTCCCGAAGAGGGTCGGATGTGTGGTCCGGACTGGGATCTGTGGGCCTGAAGAACACCACGGCCTTGAGCTCTCGCTTTGGATGGGTGGTGTGCTTGGCCTGAGGTGACAGGGCGAGGGAAGAGTGAGGGTTTTGAGGGAGCTGAAGGGGCAGGATGAAGGAAAGTGACTGATGAAGTCAACAACAAATAAATCAGGGCTTAGAATAGCTTGGGCTTGTGGAGGGGAGGGGACTCCAGATGACAAAAAACGCATTCCAGAACGTGTGAGGCAATTGCCAGACAAACCAAGTTTGGCAAAGCTGTTTGACTGTATGTGCAATCTTGATATTCTAGAACCAGAAACGGGGGGGTGGGGGGTGGGAACCTTTAAAAATGTTTTTCCTTGCCAACCCTGTCCTCCTCCTCCTCCTCCTCTTCCTCCTCCTCCCTCTTCTCCCTGTCTTTCCTCCATCCAACCATTGATGCCTGGTATTCAGCTGACCAGATGCAAGTGTATATTGAATGCATAAAGATTGGCAACTCACCTTTCTGATTCTGGGGGCATCTCACTACTTGGGGAAAGGCCAAGGTTTTATTTCTAAGAAAAGCAAATTCTTTCCCTGCTTATGTCCAACTTCCTGACACAGCATCTCATCTCGATCGATCAGGAGTTAAGAAAGGCCCCTTTCTCTCAAGTGAAATAAAACCAACATTTGCCAAGGGAAGCATACGGGGATCACATTCCCAGAGCAAGTCTGAAGCCTCGGGGATTACAACTCAGTTCACTTCAAACCTAATGAAAGCAGGAATGCTCTGAGATGAAGGGCTTTGTGTGAGGTACCCAAGGTTACAGAAGGAAGGCTCAGAGTTCTGTAACTCTGGGTTCTGGCATCAGGGGGCCAGAAAACACAGTGCTGGTGCCCTGGGTAGCAGACTCTGAGACCCTGATCTCAGAAATGGCACAGAGAAGCTAGAGTTGGAACACCGGTACAGAGAGAGCAAGGCTTCATTGCATTTGAGTTCTTTTGAAGGATCTAAGGAGAGGCAGCTTGTGGCCGACCCATCGGTTATGTTCTAGGAGGCAGGAGTTCTGGAGCTACTGGCTCAACTTTAGTTTCCAAACGAATATTCTAGGGGATGTAGGTCAGTTAGTAAAACGTTCACCTAGCATGCACAAAGTATTAGGTTGGACTGCGTGCTCTTTATGAAGCAGCTGTGGTAGAGCACATGCCTGTAACCCCGCCACACTGAGCCAGAGGCAGGATGTTTAGGGGTTTAAGGGCATTCTCAGCTGTACAGGGAGGGAGTTCAAGACCAGCCTGGGATGCACAAGACCTTGCCTCAAAAGTAATCACAGTATGTATTCACAGTTAGTGTTCCCACAGAAGCAGGCCATTAAAAAAAACAAAATCAAAAACAAAAAACCTAGGACTGGAGAAATGGCTTATGGGTTGAGTAGTTACTGCTCTTGCCATTCCAGTTCCCATCACCCACAAGGCGGCTGACTCATAGCTGTCAGTTCCAGTTCCAGGGGACCTGACCTTCTTCGGACCTTCTTCTGACCTTCTTCTGACCTTCTTCGGACCTTCTTCGGACCTTCTTCTGACCTTCTTCGGACCTTCTTCTGACCTTCTTCGGACCTTCTTGGGCTTCTGCGTGTTGCACTTGCAAACTCCACACTCAGGCACGCACACAGCTCTAACTGTCCTGGAACTAGCTCTTGTAGACCAGGCTGGCCTTGAACTCCTGCCTCTGACTCCAAGTACTGGATTATAGGTGTGCGCCACCACCACCCAGCAAGTGGATATTTTAAAACTCTAAACTGGTGTGGGAAGTCCTTCTGTTTATGTGTCGCTTTTATTGGTTAATGAATAAAGAAGCTACTTTTGGCCAATGGCTTAACAGAAGGTAGCCAGACTGTGTAAAGAGAGTAGGCAGAGTCAGAAAGAAGTCATGTAGCCTCTCTGGAGACAGAGGCCGGAAATTTATCTGGTAAGCCACGGCCTCATGGTGATACACAGATTAATGGAGATGGGTTAATTTAAGTTATGAGTTAGCCAGAAATATGCTTAAGTTATTGGCCCAACAGTATTGCAAATAACATGGTTTCTGAGTGATTATTTCGGGGCTGAGCAGCCAGGAACAATCAAGCAGCCTCTTACAACACTAAACCAAAATGCAGAAGTCAGACTGCAGACAGCATGGAGGGTTTGGAAGCATGAGCTGCTGGCTGTTTGGGTGAAAGCGTCGCTGGCCAGGAAGAGACCCGCAGAGGGAAACTGTAGAACAGGATCTGAAAATAGGTCAACAGTGTTCTGAGGGCCGCAGAGAGGCGAAGGGGTGGGGTGGGGGACAGTTTAATCCTGAGCGCTTGTCTAACACACGTGACAACATAAGGAGAGTGCAAACGGAAACAAGAGTAAACAGCCAGGCAGTGGTGGCACACACCTTTAGTCCTCACACCCCAGAGGAAGCAGAGACAGGTGAAATCTCTGTGAGTTCAAGGCCAGCCTGGTCTACCGAGTGAGTTCCAGGACAGCCAGGGTTACACAGGGTTGCTTCTCGAAAATGAAGCAAAATGAAAACAAATAGAAAAGAGAAGTGGAATTGTTAGAGAGATAACTCCGTGATTAAGATCACTTGGATCCCAGCATTCACTCGTGAGCTCACGCCATCTGTAACTCCAGTTCCAGGGAATCTGACGCCATCTTCTGGCTGCTGCTGGTACTAACTGCACATGGTACACATATATGGGCACAAAACTTGTACACACAATTTTAAAAAAGAAAAAAGATAGCCTCTCCAGTCACACCAGCCTTGTGTTCATGATCTGCTGGCTCCCAGCTCAGGACACAGCCAGGCAATCGCCTTTAGTTTCCAGTTCTGGGTGTTTGGATTCTAGATGTGAGCTGACCTAATTCTCTCATGTGTTTTTTTTTTTTTTCATGCCAAGTGGAATTAGGCTTAAGGCTTCTCAGTTACAACTACATCTTAGACATGCCTTCCTGAGGCTATATTCAAGTCACCCAGATCTGGTTTGAGGTGTTTCTGGAATTCTCTGTCAGACATGGGAATACCCACAGTTCACACCCAGAGATACAGAGTGTGTCAAGGTATCCCCCAGGGTTCCTAGAGCCATCCAGGATGGCACCAACTGACAGAACTTTCCAGAATCCAATGCCAGCTCTTAGCCAGTGTGCTGATTAGACAAGCTGGAGTCACCTAGGAAGAAAGTCTCAATTAAGGGCATTGTCTCCATCAGATTGACCTGTGGAAATCTATGGGTCATTTTCTTGATTTAACAATCGATATGGGAGGACCCAGCTCACTGGGGAGGGCGTGCTACCCCTGGGCAGGTGGTCCAAGCTGTCTAAGAAAGGAGGCTGCACAAACTTTGGGAAGTCGGCTAGCAAGCAGTACGTGGGGCTCTAACCCATGACCCTGAGGATAAGAGTCTCATGCTCCATGGACTGAGCTAGGTGGGACAATGCTTTTGTACACTGTAAAGATTTGCCACTCATATTGGTTTAATAAAACGCTGACTGGCCAGTAACCAGGCAGGAAGTATTGGTGGAACAATCAGACTAAGAGAATTCTGGGAAGAGGAAAGGCAGTAACAACAGTTGCCAGCCAGATGCAGAGGAAGCAAGGTGGGTACGCCATACTGAGAAAACGTACTGCCACGTGGTACATAAATAAGGAATATGCACTAACTTTAAGTGTAAAAACTAGTTAATAGCAAGTCTGAGCTAATAAGACAAACAGTTTTAATTAATATAAGTCTCTGTGTGTTCCTTTGGGACTGAACCACTGCAGGACCAGGCAGGACAGAAACTTCCTTCTACAAAGCACTATTTCTCCATAGCCTCTGCCTCAGTTTCTGCATCAAGGCTTCTGCCTGACTTCACCATGGACTGTTACCTGAAGGTCTAAGAGGAAACCACTTCTTTTCACCCCCTGTTGCTTTTTGTTTAGTGTTTTATCAAAAACCCAACAAAAGCCAAACTAAAATAGGCAGTGTCGGGTTTGTAGCCTCATAAGCCAACTAGAGCTAGGGAGGGATCTCAGTGGTAGAGCACTTGCCTGGCATCAGTAATGCCCTGGGTTCGATACCCAATATCACAAAAAAAGTTCTTGCTAGCCTTGGTGGCCCATGCCTATAATTAATTCTAGCACTGTGAGCAGAGATAACGGGTTTGGGATTGTCACAGGTTCAAGGACAGCCTGGTTTACATAGCAAATTCCAGACCAGCCACCTGTCAAGGCTCTGTGGTAAGACACTATCTCAAAAGAATAAGAAAGAGAGGAAGAGGAGGAAGATAAATCCACTAATGGTTGGAGACAAAGAGTTCAAATGGGTTGATCTACTTAGAATATCTATGAGCTTCTATTTTTATTTTATGTATATGGGCATTGTTTTAATTTAAAAAAAAACTAATATGCCAGTAAGAGAAGTCACACCATGCAACAGGGTTCATATGGAAGGTTTATGGGAAGAGGGGAAAGAAGTGGCAGAGCAGGCAGGGCAGAGACTACTTCCTGGGGACAAGAGTGGCTGAAGAGAGGGGGAGAGAGGGTGAGTGAGGAGAGAGAGAGGAAGGGAGAGAGAGACAAAAAGAGGAAGAGATGGCAGGCAGGCAAGGCCCTTTTAAACTGGAGGTAGCCAACGAGCAGCTGGGGATGTATCCTGTCAGGACCCCAAGGGCAGACCAGTACAAATGTCTGAATATTAACATTCCTCTCTTTTATGATAAAAAGGTTAGGAGTTAGAAGGGGGTAACAGGTGAGGTGGGGATGATGTGTTCTCGAGATGCTGGCCTGAGGGTGTCACTATCTTTGTGGGGAGGGGCCTGGGAAAGCTGGGGCGCTGACCATGTCCTGGGGTAGCTGGCTGTTTCATTCCACTGTCCAGGCTCCGTGGACCTGTCAGGCGCTGCTTGGACCTGGCAAACCGCTGTTTAAGGTGTCCAAGTCCACGGCCTGGATCTTAAGGCACTGGGCCCTTTCCCATCACCACGGCATCGCCTGGACACCCTCTTTCTAGCCAATTTACCAGGAGACACAGGTGGTCGGTTACTGAGGGCAGTCATTGTAGAGTTTAAATAAATGAAGAGGAAAGAGTTACATTAGAATCTGTTCTGTAGTTTCTTTTCTGAATCTGGGGGACGTGGATACCTGGGG